AACCCGGGATTGAAATCAGGCCCTTGTGCTTACCAGGGAAGAGCTTAGACTTTCCTTAATAGGTGATTTATTTCTTTTTCTCTTAATAGCTTTTTTTGGTGGAACCAGGGATTGAACTCAGGCTCTTGTGCTTGCCAGGCAAGCGCTTATTCTACTGAGCCATCTCCCCGGCCCCCTCATTAATAAATCTTAAAGGATTGCTCTAAACCTGAACGATGATACTCACCCTGACATGGCTTTCATATGCTGTTCCTATTCCTTTCTGTGGATCTATACCCAAGGGACCTTTTGTCTGCTCGGGAGGAACAGGACACGAGGTTGGAGCTTTGTTTACACAAGTTATATGGCATGAGAATCCACACACTTTAAGAGGGAAAGAACCCAAAAAATAATAAAAATTCACTTAACAACAATGACCACAACAAAATTCATGGAACAGTAACTATATGCAAGGTACTATGAATACTTACATTTAATTTTATTTTAAATGTTTTTTGGTATTCTTTCTAGCTCTTTTTTAAAAAAATTATTTTTTAAGGATAGTACAAAATTTGGTACATTATTGGTACAGGGCCTCACTATGCAGCTCAAGACTCGTAGTGATTCTACTGTTTCAGCCTCCCGGCACTGGAATTACAGGCATGTGCCACCACGCCAGGTCTTGGTGGCTGGCTCGCTGCGCCTGGGGTGGCGCCTGCACAGCTGCAGCACTGTGGATGGAATCCAGGTCTTGGCACTTGCCTAGGCAGGTGCTTAGATCGCTGAGCTATCTCAGTGGCCCCACTAATCTTAAAATAAAATTTTTCAATGACTAAAAAGGTATAAATTAAAGTTAAAATCATGGTGCTAATATTCTACATACTTTAAACTACAGCTAGGGTAATAATAAACTTTATTGAGCATTTTTATTTTCCTATGATAATATGAGAGATACAGTTAATATGCCAGTGTCAAATGTGACTTGCTCAGGGTCACTGAATTGAGAACTAGAAATGCTGCAATTCAAACCTAGGAGCTTGGCTCAGAGTCTGCAATATTAATAATATTACAATGATCCCTTTATTTGATATTTACATGGTGACTTTGAGATTCTAAAACAAGATGATAAATAAAAACAAAATCATGGGGCTAGCAGGAATAGTTCAGCAGATTAAAGCACCTGTTTAGACACATGCAGGGACCGGGGTTTGATCTCAGGCCTGCTGTGCGGGCAGCAATTAAGATTAGGCATGGTGGTGCACACCTGTAATCCCAGTACTTGGAAGGCTGAAAACAGGAGGCTCACTAGGAATCCAATCTGTGTAGTGAGACCCTGTAGACCTTGTACTAAATATATAACAAAAAACAAACAAAAAACCCCCCTCAGGTTTCAATAAAGTATGTATCATTGTGAGAATACATACACACCAGAGAAATGGCCTGTACATCACTGGTGGATGTTGTGAAACTAACAGCCAAGACAGACTGGTACTAACTGTCAAAACTAAACAAACTTCTCAATTCACTCAAGTGGAATGTCTAACAAATGACAATTTGTTTTACTAATAAGGAAAAATAATCTCACCTCCAAAGGGCAGTGAAAGCAACAAAGTAAGTATCTATACTGGATCTAACCCAGGAATAAATAAAAGTAGAAGGAATCTTTAGCAGCTGTACCACATTATCATAACATTTACAAAAGCCTGTCCAACAAAGGCTGGGGATATTCCTATGTCTCCATGGCTTTATAAGGCAGGCTTTAAGGATTTCAAGAAAAGACAGACAGTTTCATAGTACAAGATATAAGGTAAGAGAGTGCACAAAGATCTTAAAAAGTTCTTAATACAAATAATTTTGATGAGCGAAAACTTATCAAGGATTTACAAAATGAGGTATGTGCCCAGGATTCTTTCTGATAAACGGACTATAAAATACCAGACAAGAACTGGCTATGGTCCAAAATGAGACAAAGCAAGAAAGTCTCTCCTTTGGTTTCAGTGACACCCTCCTGGCCCATGAATTAGTCTATTTCTTCTCACATTACTTGGTTATCTTGTGCTTTTCTTTCTCTTGACCATGTCTTCTAACACCCTGACCTGTTCTTTCAGTCTACACATGCTTCCTGGATAATGTCAGTCATATTCACAAATACACCCATAACTCAAATCTTTACTTTTTAGCCATGACCCTTTTTTCTTTTGAACCCATGTTATCTAATGGATTATTTAAGGCAATGCAGACTAAATCTTCCACTTCAGTGTTAAGAAATGACAAAGTGTAGAATGCATTGCCTTAGTAAGCTGTTAATTTCCTCTTTTCTCAAAGAAATTATACACAGACTAACTGCAGGTGTATTATAAAGAGAACACGTGCATCTAACAGGGAATAACTACACTTTTAAAATCCTCTTAAAGGACTTTTTAAGGTCTTTCCAATACGGACAGAAAAGCTAAGCAATAGAAACCAGCATTAGAATTTAAATGAGCAACTATTTTTTTTTCCTTTTAATAAGATATGTCAGAAAATCATGAGATTTTGTTGAGGTGCTATGTGTTTAAAGAAATGATATTTCTAAAGCAGTCTCAAATAATATATCCCATTATGATTCAAATCATTTTTATTTTAGAGGCCTTGGGAAACAAAGTGGTATCCAAAAAAACATGCTGTTTTCTGTTTCAAAGGCCCCCTAATCCTCTTGCCCTCAAATCTTGGGACATGAGCTGGCTCCACAAGGGGATGATCTCTCTTTCCCATACTCACTTGTTCACCCCCAGTGCCTAACCTCACAGGGCAAGCATGTAACAAACACGCAACAGGTAAGTCAGTGACTAGGAAGAGAGAAACCTGTTATGAACACTAGGAATAACTATCTTTTGAGGCACTGCAGCAGACATTTAGTATTTCTGAAAAGGTACGATGTTGGCGACTTCTCAATGATTTCTCTAATAATGTTATAATTAAATAAATAAAATCAAGGATAACTTTCATGTCTTCTGTCATATAGATTGCCAACATTCGACAGACTTGAGCAAGGTGATCAGTTTATTGTTTACATTCTTATTACCCAGAAAAAAACAATTAAGTCAAAAAAACATGGAATGCCTTTTAAAGAGACTAAAGTTATTTGGTTACAATTTAGGTAGGCAATGTTAGGACAAATAAAATGGAGGCTAAACAAGTCATTTTATTTTCACTTGGTTCTTACCTTCACATGAACAGCCTTGTCTAATCAAACCCACCATCAAAGAGGTACACTGATGACATTTGGTGGGAGAAGTGAAAGATTTTACAAAAAACTGATGAGTCTTGCGCTGTAAAGCAAGTTAAGAAATATACATACATTGATTATTTGAGGGTTTTTAATGTTAGTTCCTATGCACATATGACCTCTTAGAATGCTTTCTATGTAGAGCAAATTCTTTCCATTGTTTATGTCTTAGTTTATGCTTTTTAAATGTTTTATTAGTGAGTTAAACTAAAATAATACTGTATAAGACATTAAATGATAATTTATTATTTTGGCTTTGCTTATAAATCTTGGTTTCAGGATTTCTATAAATTCTTAAAATTCTTCTCTAGCACAGAAAAAAAGAAACAAAGCTTTTGTAAATGGGGAGGAGAGGAAGGCTTGGAAAGTGGGTATGGAAAAAAGAATCAAGTTGTATCACATGTGCAAATTCTTTACAATGAACATTACTATGTATATCTAACATTTATCAATAAAATCTGATTTAAAATTTATTCTTTAGCAAAAAGTGAAATTTTGTAAAATTATAAATACAGTTTAATCTGTTTATACCTCCTTAGGAAGAAGAAAGAATGTAACATTCTTATTTTTACTGTACATCACAAATTTCATTTTCTGAGAGCAAGAATAAGTAATATGCATTACAAATCTGTTTTCTCCTATGGAAAAAAGCAGTACTACACTTGAGCAGATAAAAATACACTCATATTATTCCTGAGACAGATGACAGGTTATAATTTCTTATTGAAAAGCCAGTAGCTAAAGAGTTCTAAGTCTTGGTTGATTTACATGGTAGTAAGCTAAAGAGACTTCATCTCTTTGGAATACTTTTGTGTTCTCAAAGTCACCTCTTAGCATGCTTTAATTGTACATAAACTGCAATAGCCCTTTCTCTGCACCACTGCGTGAACTCAGGAGCAAGTTATATTTGAGTCTTCTGTGTCTCACATTCATCATAAAATAGCACCCATTATAGGATCTACTTTTTTTAAAAATTCACTTATTTATTTTTCTTTTTAAAATTTTTTATTCATTTCAATGAGACAAATGTAAAATAGCAATGAAACAGTTTCAAGGTTAGTAGGACCATTACCATAATCAATACGCTACATATTGTTGTCTTCATAGTAGTTATTCAGAGGACAAGATGCTGATATGATATCTTGTCTAAACACTATTAGTACAAACCTTTCTTCTCATTGAACTAGGAGAAAGTAACTGTATATCTATCTTAACTATCTTGTTTATACATACATATTTTTTTTTCCACAACAAAATGGTTCTTTATTTATATTCCCTTATTTTGTTTTGGTTTATCAGACATGGCTGCTCCATTGCTATTAGAGAAGCTGTTATTTGGAGACGTCTTTAAAGGACCTTTTCATACTTGGTACCAGTCTAAAACTTGTAGGTACTTGAATTCAGCAAAATAACACAACATAGTTCCAATAGTCCATAATAGTAGTGTTATCAGCACAATGGGCAATTGTCCAAAGTTGTTGACTTGAGCCTTTTACAGTTCAGTATAATACAGTTCAGCATTTTTATATCTTGTGGTTACACTTTTCTGCTGGATAAGTTTAAGACCAAGTTAAAGCAAGACCTGTATAACTAAAAATGTAACTTTGCTTGGAACCAGGGTAAATCCTGAAGGGATTTGATTGACTATGTTGTTCCTTAGTGTGATTTTCTGAGTATTTATTCACCTTGAAATTTGCTGAGATTCTTAAAGTCAAATTGGAAAAAATTTCAATTATTAGTTTTTTGAAGATTTTTTTGTTTATTTCTTTTTCTGAAATTAACACACATTTATTTTTCTATGTCCTTTCATTCATTGTTTGCTTAGTTATTTATTTGCTGTGTTTTAGTCTGCATATTTTCCATCACTGTCTTCAAGGTCACTGATCTTTTCTTCTTGTTTAATCTGGTTTATGTCCCATCCTCATAGTTTGCAGATCAGAGATTTTTTCAAGTCTAAAAACTCATTGCTTTCAAAATACTTTGTTTACATCAATATTAGGTTAATATTTTTTTCCATAATTTCATTGATAAACAAATAGCAATGAGACAGTTTCAAATCAAATTGGTAAGACAGTTTCAATAATTAACACACTGGATACATTCCTCCCAGTGGTTAATTGCTGTACAAAATGCGGACATGATATCCTATCTAGAAATACCATTAGAACAAATCACTCTATTCATTAAGAGAATGTAACTATATCTATCCTAACCACTTTGAATACACAGATACAACATGGACATTCATCTGTATCCCCTTTTTTTGTTAAGTTCCGTTATTTGAATATTATAGGTGTGTAAACTCAGCAAAATAATCTAAAAGAGTTCAGTAGTCCATAATAGTATTGGGTCTTCCGCTTCACTGGCAATGTCAGAAATTGTTGACTTGAGTCCCCTACAGCTCAACATAACAGCATGGCTTTACTTCTTTTACTTCATTTTTATACTTTTCTTATGGATGGTTAAGACCAAGGAAAAGCAGGACCTATGCAATAAGAGTTGTAACTTTTGGGTCTGATAAGGTCAGTGGAGTCCCCTCAGAATTTATCCTGAGATCCTGTACCTCAGATTGTTTGTCAGTGTCAGCCATGTGGATGAGTCACAGCCATTGCTTGGCCAATGTACTGTCTGTGAAAGCCTGAGAGAATGTTTTCTATCCATGTGATTCTCCTTAGGCACACTCTACATCATTGATCACTTTCCTCT